TGACTCATTTCCTACCAGTTAAAACCATTCTCAAAACGAACACCACAAAACTAAAGGCTATACCTCCGTCTGTAGAAGTAAATCGACCTACTTCAATCAGAACCTCAATCGACGAACTTTAACAGTGCCACACCCACTCACAAATCCGTCCATCCACGGACGCGCACAACTCCTAGACATAGACAAGACCCACAACAAACGACGTCTTTGCCAAGACTAAAACAAATGGAAGGGTAATAAAATCCCGCTCTCACAAGAAACCAACAACTCACACCTTTATGAACCAGACACCCTATCACACACTACTCACCGGTCGTCCAACCATGGACACTCAATCACACCTGAGATGAAAAGAACTCCTTACGCACAAGGAGAAGACCAACTGGAATCACATACAGAATTACGAACACAATCAGGCGACCTCGCCACAAACAAACCATCACACCTATCAACACAAAGACCTCGCACACACTTCTCCGCAACACTATGCTAACCAAAACTAATCAGATAAAAACACCAACGCCCTTAACATACTGACACTAGGAATCATCACTATACATTGGACACTGTGTCCCATCCTACCTGATAGTCACCCAATGAAAAACTCCATGAAATACAACGACACCTGATCACTTGTTCCATCTCTACCCTTTGAAGTCGACATTGCCTCAATCACTGTACGCGCAAGACCCGTGACCTCAGTCACAATAACCCATTGACTTTTCTAGGAAAAAGATGCCTACATGGCAACACCTATTTATCGATCAGGTTCCAAAGACTAAACCGTCCACAAGTGCCTCACTGGCATACAATCACATCACATACCTGTCAGTACATAACAACACTCATGATTCTCAACCTACCTTCGAATCATACCTCGAACATTAAACTCTTCAACACTAAACATCACACCATAACGACTTCACTGCCATTCACCCAAATCAACAGTTTAACCAATCGTCCCACCGTACCATTAAACCAATACTAAGGAATTCTTCCTCAAACATCCTTAAGAGATCACCATTATAACAAGAGAATAAGCATCACTCCCGGTACTTTCTACAATTGCCACTATTTTCCACTAGAAAAAAACATCTATACGGCAATGCCATGCCGACAAATCCTCAAAATAAATGAGCATAAGAACCAAGACGCTCAACACTTAACTGTCACCTCGAAACCATCAACGATGCAATTAATCACCGCTGTCCTCCTGAATATTGAGATCATTCCTAAACTGACTTACTCTCCAATATAGGAACCTCAAGTACTAACACCCCCATAATCATCCTTCCCAAGATAGATGTGCAAACTCTAATCCCTTGGAAACAACAAGCCTTTACTAACCAATCGCTCATTCAAAAGTGACGCTAACTCGATATGAAAACATACATTACTCGTGATACAGGACACCCTAGTCAACAACCTGTTATAAGAAAAGAATCATACGTGGCGCACTACAGAAACAGTCTCTAGGAGGAGAACAAACACTACGCTAAATGGTCAATCACATAAACTGAAGTAGACGATAACTACAAAATAATGGTCTCTAATTGGTATCTAACTAGACACTCAGGTTATACCTACAACCATGACTACCATCCAACATAATGGAATGTTCACATCGATTTCATCTGAGTTGTGTGCCCGTAGCTCGCTCTGTGTGGTAGCCTTCTGGTGCCACCTACACACGCTCACACCCACCCACCTACAAGGCCACAAAACAAATAAATCAAATAGAATAGGCCACCAAGCCAAATAGGTCACTCCTCATCCTGGCTCAACACAATCTGTGACCAACACTCTATGGTCACTAAACAACATCACACTTACTCATCTCGTCACCAACTCAAGATTAACCTCAACTTTTACTCCCAAACAGTAATCTAAGGGACAACTCTCAACCTTAACATCAGTGAACTTCTAATTAAAAATCCAAATACGAACCTTACTCAACCCATACAGCACTAGAACCTCACAAGTCATACTCTACATACCACCTCACGTCCTATGACATCCAATCAACTTTGCTTACACAAAATGATCCCATGACTTACACACCATACCCTACGAATCCATCATCCCAAGAATCCACTTACTACACATAGGAAACACAACACAAACCCTCGTCCGTGCAAGAAAATGAGGACTTCCGTCCCGGAAGACACCTAAGATCAAACCTTTTCACCATTGCCAGTCTCTAGGAAAAAGACTCTTAGTGGAACGAAGCATTCAGTTCAAACCGGACTCAAAAAATCGTGCTATTCACATCACCCTTGCCTACAATGCTAATACTTACCCCCGTCGTAAATGATACCTCATAGAACCAATACAACATAAAAGCGCGTATGCTAAACAATTACATACTGAAACCATAACACCTACTCATGGATTATTTAAGTCAGTGTTACACACATATGCCATATAAGCATGTAATCACGTAAGAAAATAAGTAAGTACGCAAGTGAGCATGCTTTTCAGAATCGTAAACACATAAGCAACTAAGCAAGTAAACAAGTAAGCATGCTGCTCAAACATTTAAACACTTTAACATGTAGCACATAGACAAGTAAACAATTTAGCATGCTTCTTCAAATATCGAAACACGTAACAAATAATCTCACACGCAATGCAAACAACTTCCCACGCAATCCTATATAGGCCTCTACCCGTCGTCCTAAGGTTTTTGAACCATCGCTCTGATACCAAATTTGTAACGACCCTAAACTGATCGCATTTAAAAAAAATTCGGCATGACCTCCCCTAAAAAGTGGACTACCACAACCTACTCAAATAAAAAATGCAATGGCTCTTCCTGGCCTTTCAAAACACCTTCAACCTGTCCCAGCACATAAAATAAATAATATACTTCAACATCCCATTCATCCGTTCATTATACCTCAACATGGTTCATCTCATGGTGGAACATCTGCATACCGTTTAATCCAAATTATCATAATCACAGTCCCAAAATACAGTTACAATAACAAGAGTTCACAAATCTCTATACCAAATATAACAAACTAAGATTTTACAAAAAAATGGAACTTAACACAAAAATAGCAAAAAGAAGTCTTCTAATTCAAATTAGGCCTATGGTGGAAAGTCATCCGCCACTTCTTTTCCGTTCCCTGAAAAAAATTATTAAATAATAGGGTGAGCATAAAGCTCAGTAGGTAGCACTTAAGACACGCTTCTTGTTTCCCCGTGAATCTATACAAAGAATAGAGTAATGGGAAATGGGGATTATACAATGCTGGGATAAAACCATATAACAATCAACTTTCAAGTATAAACAAGAAGGTGCTATGCAATGCAATGTATGACAATGTCTCTCCCCATTTTCACTTTCAAACCATCACTTTCAAACTGTTAATATAACCAGCCATTTGGTGACCCCGCAGCGACACGAGAAAAGGATTGGCTAGTGTTCTTGACCCTTGGTACCCCCGCAGCGTCATTGTGGGAGCCAGCTAGCTCAACCACACTAGGACAACTCCCTAGTTCCCTCTAGGCTATATTAACCTTCCGGCCCTTTAATACCCCCACGGCGACCAGGTTTTCATAAAACAGTTTTTTTTTTTCATCAAAACTTTTTTCCCAAATTTTTCCTTTTTATTTCAAAATCATTTCTTCCCTTTCATGCCCAATGTCAATGCATGGATACTTCAAGGACATACATATACTCATCATTCCACAACTAGTCCAATTTAAGCAACATGGCATAATTCACAAGAATATCAAAAAAATCAAAACATGTTTTCAAACAACAAGAATCTAGCAAGATGAATACATACAGTCAATTCTTACACATGCTCTTCACATAGAACCATTAACACACATAGTCACTTAATCAACATGTATGCATACGTATCAACAATTCTCTAGATATCAAACAATTAATCAAATTAAGCAACAATTAGAGGGAATTAACTCATTAAGGTACAAAATTTCATGCATTAAGGGCCCCTACCTCTCAAATACGAAAACCCTCAAAATGGGTCAAGAAATTCGAAGGCCAAAAGGAGGCTCAAAGCTGGAATTGTTGGTACTGATGCGTAGAGTTCATCGTGGGCTTCGTTTTGCCTCAAACGGCACTTAAATCCGGCAAGTAATGAGTGAGTAATCAAGCCTCAAAGATTGGAAATAAAAAAAGATGAAAAGATGAAGTTTGAGAAAGAGTGAGAGCTGTAAGCGGGGAGAGAGAAAGTGAAGGTGAAAATGTGGTTTCTAGATCACTTATGAATGGGTGGTAGGTCCCACCATCATTTTCTTCTCTTTTTTTCTTTTATTTTGTTCTTTTTGCACCACACAAATATATGTCTATACAAATTATACAAAACCCACATAAATTACATAAGATGCCAATGGACCCAACTAAAATCCCCATACACGACAACACCAGTAACGGGTCTCACACAAGATCGTCCGGCCCGAAAAACGAAAAAATACAAAAATGATCAACTTTGCATTTCAAAGAGTGCCGAACTCAATGAAACGTCCCAAATGAATAACCGACATACCCCACGGTATCCGGTATGCAAAACGTGAAATAACGAAAACGCCCTTGCGACGATAAAATTTTCGAAAAAATAAATAATGAAAAAAATCGAAAACGTCACAACCCCATTGATGTCAAAAAAAAAAAAGAGACTGTATCTTTCCCCTTTTAAATGATATGGTGTTTCATTTGGCGTAAAAATAAATAAATAAATAAAATAAAATAAATAGTCATGTGCATGATTAATTTGGGATTTCACTTGTCTGGTTTTTTTGGTGTTAAGTACGGCTTGGGTTGGGTACACCATTCTGGTTAGGCCTTTAGGGCATCATATTAAAAACTCTTTCCTTGGATTTTATTTATCGCCATAAAGTTTAATAGGAAATGTTCAATAATCTACTGAACTGATACAATTAGATTCATAATAATTAAACATAGTTCTAACTCTTATGTGACTTAAGTTGTTACTTTCTCTATTACTAGATGACTACAGACAATATTAATAGCAAAATAGCATTCTGCATAAGCTGTCCATTAATGTTACAATTTTTACAAGAAAAGCGGCTGTAATGATCTTCTATAGATCATAATAATATATAGAAGCAAAATGTTCTCAGCCAAGGGATTAAAAAGGATGGACAAAAGGAGCTCACGAGGAGAAGAAAGTGTCAATAATGGTTGTGTGGAGTGGGTCACTCAAATGGGTAGCCCAGTTGTTGAGTGGGCCTTTGCCGGTGGCGGCAGCCTGGACGGCGAAGCCGAGAAAGCCGATCATGGCGAGGCGGGCGTGCTTGATCTCTGCAAGTTGAAGGATGGCCTTCTTCTCCGGGTCGACGGCCAAGCCCAGGGGGTCAAAGAACTTGCCACCAGGGTACAGCCTCTTCTCTGGGTCAAGCTCTGCATTCCTCTGGAACTCAATGTATCCAATCACCAATACCTCTATCCATATCAATGTGGTCATGGAAAATGGAAGTGGTTGCCCAAGATAAGAGGACCCTTCAATTAGCTCCACCTGAATTATTACCAACTCACAACTTATTTCAACTCATAATTCATCATAATAATTATGCTTAATTTCTATTATCACATTCTATCATATTGAACTAATTTATCTTTTTCTTATAACCATCATTTTATTTGTTCGATAAAACGCTTTATAACATTAACATCGGTTTTAGAGAAAAATGCATAAATAACAATTTTTATTTTTTATTTTTAAAAGATGAATATTAATAGTTATTTAGGAACATCAGTTTTTTTAGAATAGTTTTTAATTTTTAAATAATTGAAAATAATTTTTTTTAGAAAAATGCAAAAATAACAATTTTTTTTTTTTTTTTTTTTTAAAGATGAATATTAATAGTTATTTAGGACCTTCAGTTTTTTTAGAATAGTTTTTAATTTTTAAATAATTGAAAATAAATTTTTTTTTCCTAAAAAAACTGTACAAATCTGTTTGATGAGTTTTTGAGAACAGTTTTAAAAACTAACATTTATAATTCTTAAAAAATAATTTTCTGAATTGTTCATAAAAACTATTTATTTGAAACTGATCCAAACAGTCCTTAGTTTTGAATTGTTTAGGCAAGGTATATGGTAATTTTTATTGAAAGTTCCATTGCATTTAACATTGCTATTATAGTTCTTTTTATGATGATATAAAATTTACACGATGAAACATAATATAAGGTAAAATATTAATTAATAAAAATCTCTGTTTAATTTAGTAGTAATCCGAAAACAGAGGCTGCATTCATATACTAATTATTTTCAGTTCTTACTTTTATCAAACAGCTATATATATATATATATATATATATATATATATATATATATTGCTACATTTTCACGTACCTTTCCAGCATCTTGCCATGTGACACCGGTGAGAGACTCGACGGCAAGAGCGCCGAGAGTGGCCAACATAGCCCACCGCCCGTGAATGAGCTCGCACTCTCGGAACCTCTGCAGTCCAAACACCTCCGTGTACGGCTGAAACGGTGTGGACTTCACGTCCGATGTCTCAAATCGGGTCCCGATAATATCGCCCGCCTGGTTCTTGGCCAAGTTCTGATCCAACGAGTCCAAATCATACTGCAAGTACTCCGCAGGCTTGCCCAGCCCAAACGGGTCAAACCCGTAATCGCCGACCAGAGTACCATCAAGCCACTCAGGTGCTTGGGCTCCGGGGTACCATAGCGGGCGATCCGTACTGGGTTTGGATACCTTCTTGGCTTTTTTCTTGGTTCCGAATCCGAACCTGGCCTGGACCCGGCCCGAATTGGAGTGCACGTCGGGCAGACGAGTCCCCAAGAACGACGAGGTAGCGGCGGCGGCGGCTGTGGTTGTGACGGCCATTCTGGTGTGTGTCTAACTTGCGCCGGAGCGTAGAGATGGTGGAGGGTTGAGTGTGTGTGGAACGGAATTGGTGTATTATATATGTTTATAGACTTATGGTTGGTGTTAAGAGATAAAGATTTTTGGCAGTGGAGTGATCTATCTGAGGTTCGGATTTGTGACCGTTGGATTGAAGAGGGTATCCATCTGATGGATGAGAGAGCCTCGGCCTTATCCTTGCCTTATCTGGTTGTGGGTACACTCAACACTGGCTGATTTTTACTGGTGGGCTTCAACTACACGTTGGATCAAGTTTTGTGGTTCACATCAAAGTGTGGTACTGTGGAGAATATCTCTCTTCACGGACATTTAAGGTGACAGATGGTTGGACATAATTTCCATGTCCCTATCTTGAGTGATGACACCTGTCGTCTCTCTCTCTCTATCTCTCTCATAGCAATTTTTATACTTTATTTTCAAGAGTTGCTAATTATGCATTTTGTTGCTTATTATATTCTTTTATAAATTAAAACTCAACTCCAGTTATGTCATTTTCTTTCGTGTGATAAAACATTCATGTAAGTTATTTTCTCTCCACTATATATCTCTCTCAAATAAAAAAATATAAAAGACTAAAACTATCATTTAATGTTAACATTATTCACTCTTTCATTTCTTGTCAAAATGCACCTTTTTTTTTTTTTTGGATCGATAATCAATGATAATATATCTTAATACCTTGGATTAACTTGAGGCGTGTGAATGTATTATGTATGGAGTCTAGAGTGTGATTATACTTTTTGAAAATTTCATAGACATTAGACTTATCTTTTTGTGATTTTAGAAATTTTAATTTAAAAGACTGACGAGAGATATCAGTATACTATAACATACTTCATTAACAATTATACTAATCATAATTCATACTCTTTTCGTCCCAAAATTCTTGGGTATTTTGAAGAGGAATCCAACATTTTATGATTGTAAATTTTTATTTTTATTTTTTTTGTATTGATAAGAGTGAGATTTCAAAATTTTCAGCTAAAAGACAAAAGAGTATTCCGAAATTAATGCACTTGTTTAATAAAGTAAAATATCAAAATGGTAGTTTAGGAATGTTATAAAAAGTACTCCGTAGTAAATTCATTTTAAGAATGAAACATGTATTTTGGGACATTTCAAAATAAAAATATGGACAATTATTTTGTGTACGTGTTTCATGTTTGTGTTTATATAACAAGAAATGATATGTGACACACTACAACTAAAGCTTAATCGAGCATTGTTGAGGTTTCGATAAATTAAAATGACTTTATTTTTTATTTATTTGTAACGAATGATCAACTCTTAGTCATATTTTAAAGTAAAATACTAAAATCCCTTCGGATAGCTAATGTGATCCAACAAAAAAACTAACATGTATACTAATATATATACTATTAAGAACTTAAAAACATATAAATAAGCTATGTTTTAAATGGGTTAATCGGTTAAAACCCATCTCTCCAGCAAATCTCCACCATCCAACAATCCAACCTCCATTTTAAAGCCCTAATCAGTAATCACCACCACTCCCCACTATCCACCATTGTCACTCTCACCCATTCTCCACCCTTTCTCTTATTTCCCCACCCACCCTCTCTATCTCTCTCTCCCCACCCTAATAAGTGGTAGTGGTGTTTAGGTGTTACAAATTGAAATGGAACTTTATGGTAATTCAAACATTATTCAACATATACAAATCCATCCACAACAAACATCAATTGAAAAAAGATAGAACAAAAACTCCCAATAATTCAAATTAATTGAACCACTAAAGGTTCAAATTTTATAAGGTCTGTACCAATGCCAATATAGTGACCAATTAGGGCTTCGTCCACTGTAAACAAGAGGACTTTCTTTCTGAGTAGCAATTTGCTTTGTGTGGATAATTTCCACATAGACTAATTCTATAAGCATAACTTCATAGACATATCTATGTCTTCCATCTGGAGTAGCTTACTATTGTGATTGAAAATATCTAGATTTGACTTCCCATGGTTCTGACAGCCATTGTTCATCTTGAGAATCCAAAATTAATACATTTTGTTTACACCTTAAATTAAAACAAAAAATAAACCATACTGTACAATTTGTTGCCAAAGTCGGGTATTTGATTTTTTTTTTTTTTTTTTCCCTATTTTTCAAATATAAATTGGATTATATTTTTAAAGCAAAGCTCTTTTTAGCTTAAAAAGATTCAAGCCAGCAGGATGAACCAGCCATAGGTCAGATGAATAAGGCAGAATAATTGTTATTTCTAAAATGTGTTGGATTTGGCTTGAAACTAAACAGCAAAATTGCTTTCCCAAGCTACTATTATTGCCAAGAAAACTACAGCTCTTGTTACAATTTGTAATAATTTAGCAAGTTTATCATTCTACATATATAAAAGTATAACATAAAGTTGCATTTTTATATTTATTTCCAACCAATTGACCCAGAAGTAGAAACAACGACCAGACATCCCACCCGCTTGAGCAAAATGATACCCAGGTCAGTCTGATATGCGGATGTATCCGTGATGAAGGATAGGATCCACCTACTTTTGTGGGTTTTTATCGCCTTTCCCTTTAGTTAAAAGATACATGCATACATACAAATATGTATTATGGAACTTGCTGAATAGGTAAATGAGCCTAACACTTCCTTTCTATCCTTTTTCACAATGAGAATTGAAAACATTTATATATAACAAAGATTCAAATTTTAATATTTTACCTAAAAATATTTGTGTATATATATACTTATATATAGATAGAGAGATATAGAGATAGAGAGAGGAATGATTCAACAAGAAATTGGGGCAAAGGTAATAAATGCTCAAATGGATATTGAGCATCCTCAAGCAATATAACTGCTTTGGCTTAACCTTGCCACGGCCTTTTGTGGTATTACCATGACCTTGCCCTGTATTGGGTTGATTCATGAACTCTGTAGAAATTTACATGTTAAAAAGTCAGATAAAAAATTAAAAGTGCCTTCAACAATTGTAAAATGAAAAGTAAATAAATCAACTTGTCAACTAACAAATATCTGTTTAGAAACTATATTCTTAATATCTTTTTCTAAAACTTGTTTAGCAGCACTGTAATCAATGCGTAACAAGAATTTCTAATTTAATAAATCATCTTGAAATTTATAAATGTATTTAACTAAAGAAAGAATTTCTTTCTTAATAGTAGAATAATTTAATTATGTATTCTAGATAAAATTTTTTTTTACATATATAACATGTAAAAAAAATGTTTGTAAATAAGCCACTCTAGAATAATTTAGAGAAACTAAGGAGCTAAGAGTGAATTATAAATAGCCCTTGTGCCCCGTTGATGTCAAGATAACTAGCTATTGCAAAGTTATTCTAACAAACACTAAATCCCTCCCATAAATTTATAATTTAGTACGACACTAATATTAGGCGAGATAGATGAAATTTTATAACTCTTTTATTTTGGGCTACTACAATATCATAACATAAATTTTGTAATTACAATTAGGTCAAACTTTGATGTCAAGATAACTAGCTATTGCAAAGTTATTCTAACAAACACTAAATCCCTCCCATAAATTTATAATTTAGTACGACACTAATATTAGGCGAGATAGATGAAATTTTATAATTCTTTTATTTTGGGCTACTACGATATCATAACATAAATTTTGTAATTACAATTAGGTCAAACTTCAATGTGAAAGGCGGTGAATGGGTCAACACGTGTCTTCAGTTGGGTATGCCACAAAATATGTTCCTGGTGATTGCATGCATTCGATAACTTGGCGGCAACCACTCACGGTTTCACACGTTCATATCTACTTTCGCTGGGGATCATTATTATTGTCGAGAATTCTCTATTTCACCCTTCAAAAGAATTGAAAGTAGGTAACCGGTAGTGCCTTTCAATAAGACCGGTAATTCTTATCCGATTTAAAGGATAACCTATTTAATATTTAAAATATAAAATTACGATTCAGAACTTTGACAATATAATTTAATTCAACTAATATTTTGTTGTACAATATAAACGGCTTATAAATAGTTTGAGTAATGACAATTGAATTTATTTTGTATGTTAAATAAATAAATTATTATTCGATTTTATTGCATAATAAGATTTGGGTAAAAATTGTTAATTTTTGTAAACCTGACACATCTAATTTGGATTTATATATTTTTTCTTATCAATTAAATGTCAAACTTAAGTTAAATTCGAAAATGTCAAACTTATGCTAAATTTGAAATGTTATAATGCATATATTTACGCATACACTAATGTTATGTTTGGCCGGAGGAAAGGATTGAGAGTGATATCCGAGAGGAGGATAAAATAACTTTTTATGTTTAGTTGAAGGGGAAGGGAAGGAACAGAAATAAGAGAAAAAGAAAGATTATAGTAACTAACAAATATGTAATTCTCATTTTTTTACAATTTGGAAAGAATATCAAATTTTCATAACCTTATATAAGGAGGATAGATATATTTGTAAAAACAATATTAAAAAAAAAAAAGAGTCCTGATTCATCATTTCTACAGTCTATTTCATCAAATTAAACAAAAAGTTAAGAAATACGTTATCTCCAATGCAAAATGCTATTTTTTTATGGCAAAACTATATTTTGAGAGGAATTACAGTATCAAAATGCTATATTTTAGTAATTCTGTTCTAAGACCATCTCCAATACAAACTGTCATTTTTGCATGCCAAATTTATATTTTGAAAAAAGTTATAGTGTCAAAATACTATATTTTAGCAATTCTGCTGCATTTCATTCAAAATGCTACAACAACCAATATTTTTTAACTACTATTCCCAAACTACAATTTTCAACAACTATATTTTTTTTTTTTGATTGTTTGTATTTTATTTAGCTTATTTGCCTTATTAAAAATAAATAAATAAAAATACTAACATATATATATATATATATAGAAGCACAACAGACATATATATACATATATATGTACACACAACAAACATATACTTATATATATACACAACACTAACATATATATATATATATACAAGCACAACTGACATATATATATACACAAGCACAACACCAAATTGACAGCCTAACACCAAATTGACAGCTCATGCGAAAGAGAAGAGAGAAGGAAGAGAGTAATAGCAAATTTGGCAACAGCTATATGTTGTGTTATATTTGGCATAACATTTAGTAAAGTTATATTTTGGCAACCCATTTAGTATGCCATTAGAGAGCCCATTTGGCATGCTATTAGAGAGCCCATTTTAAACTCACATGTTATATTTTGAAAATAGCAGCCCATTAGAGTTACTCTAATGGTGCATTTTATTCAAAATGTTATTTGGAGTGCATTATTTTCATTCACTTGTTATATTTTGAGAAACGGCACCGTATGAGAAAAAAAAAAAAGAACTCTTAAAAATTTTTGAGAACGGCCATATATGACAATACTTTTAACAATCTCAAATTATGAGAGGTCATTTGAGAATCCATTGAAGTGTATTATTTTCATTCACATGCTATATTTTGACTCTGAGAAGCCCTTTTGAGAGAGGAGGTGCTCTTAGATGTGTATCCATGCCCGTCTATTTTTTCATCCTTTCAACAAACTAAAGAATAAAATGAGTGTCTTTAACATTTTATTTTATGAAAAAAAAAAAAAAAACATTTTATTTTTACTAATTTTGAAAGTCGATAAACATATATACCTCTCCGTAAATTCTTTCACATTTTACTTGTAATTGCAGTAGTTGCCGATATTCTGTGGCGGCAAATTTGTAAAGGTTACCGGATGAACCGGTAACTCCATCAAGTTAACTTCAATCTCGGTCGTACACACTTCTTTCTCTCTGTAGCTTGATTCTTCTTTTTGTTCTGCTCTGTTTCTCACTGAGCGATCACCGATCGTTCTCTTCCATTTAGGTATGATTCATTTCTAGATCTATTCCTCTTTGAAATACTGTGTATATATTTACATGTTTATGAATATACATCTAATTGGTTGATTAACTTCCGTTTCTTGGCTGCGATTCTGTAGTTGGTCTTGTAAATTTTGCTGAATTATCTTGCCGATCAAATTATTTTGATTATTGGTGGAAATTTTATCATTTTAGCTCTACTTTGGTTAAACTAAATCCTTAATTTGTTATTTTATCTAACATATATAGGCTTAATTTCTTATTCTTTTTCCTTTTGTTTTTGAATTATACTACAAATGCTTCAACTTGTCTTTATTCGATCAGTATATATTCGTTTTCTCATCTCCCAGTGCGTTGACTTACAAATGAAATTATAGATCTTGATTAGCTTTGTTATTCTCTGTATTGGGATCACTACTACTTTGTTTTCTGTGCTTAATCTTGTCTTTTAACTACAAATAAGCAGCTTTTGAGCATGACAAATCAAGTTGTATTGTTTTGCTTTTATTTGATGGCTGTGTTTAGTTTGTAGAAATTGCATCTCAAAAGGTAAGCCCTCTTCTTGATGCACTTTCTTCTTTTGATTAATTCCATACAACACTTATTTATCCACAAAAAAACATAAACACAGACCTCGTGCTGTTTAGTTTGTAGTTCGTGTTGTTCAATTGTAGCTCACAGCTAGAGTAAACAAAGCTTGCTGTTTAATAGATCCGATAATCGCATAACAACTTAGTCTTGTGTGAATAGAGTCATTTTGATGAAGATTCTGTGATTTTTAGGTGGTTAATATGAAGGTTTCCAAGGGCAAGGGAACATTAGTGAAGAAGGATACGAAAGAAGCATTGAAGCCTGCCGAGGACAGGTTAGCTAGTTTATGTTTTATAACTTTGAATGTAATTCTACAATTTTATGGGTATTTTGTGTCTTGAATAATTGTGTTTGTCTGCTTCACGGAATGAGCTTGGCTATTAGTTTGTATGGTTAAGAGTAAGAGTTATATTGAAATCTAATGTTAATATTTGATGGTGGACACAGCGGTAACAGGAATATTATAGTGACGGATCATATGTTATTCTTTTCAGAAGGATTGGTAAGCGAAAGGCTGCCATTAAGGCAGATAAAAGTAGCAAACAAAAGGCTAAGAAGGGAAAATTGGTGAAAGACCCCAACAAACCTAAGAGGCCTCCCAGTGCCTTCTTTGTATTCCTGTATGTATAGCTCATTTTGCTGTTTTTTGAATTAGAGATTTCCTTTGGTAGCGTTGAGTTTGAAATTTCTAATGTTACTGACATTCTCTGAAGAATGTCATTGATTCACGTCATTTTGCTATTGCAGTGAGGAATTTAGAAAGACCTTCAAGAAAGAAAATCCAACTGTGAAGGCTGTCTCAGCTGTAAGTAATTGATGGATATTGAGTATTCGGTTTCCTATAATATATATATATATTTAATTTTTTTTCTTTGCTGGTACTCACACACACGTGCTTCCACCGAGACTTGAAACTTTGACCTCCCTTTAGGAAGTAAGGGCCTGATACTGCTGGACCACTAACCCGTTGGTATATATATATATTTTCATTGTAATAATTCAATCTGTGTGTATAAGAAATTAATTTGGCCTTTTTATGCTGTCCTTGAAGGTTGGAAAAGCTGGTGGAGAGAAGTGGAAATCCTTGTCTGAAGCTGTAAGTACTTCAACTTGTGACTATCAGTAAAGGAAATATAATTAGCTTGGATGTGTTGTGATAGCGGGCATGACCAGCAGTTTAAAATTTCTATTTGACTCCTATGAATTAGTTCGTAAAAATGCTACAGTGTTCAGTGCTACTGGTGACCAATTTGATTTGAGCTTCAACGCAAAGATGCTTCAGTGACTTCTGTGAATAATACTTGGCTACTAACTAATGTGATAAATGGTTAAGAGAAATGAACCAATTAACTAATGTGAGTAATGGCGGGAGAGATTAAACCCTCAGTGTTCAACTGATTTAATGTGAACTCTTATAAGTTGACTCTTATGAAAGAACGGTGATTCGTGTATCACTAACATGGTCTACCTGGTAGGAAAAAGCTCCATATGAGGCCAAAGCAGCAAAAAGGAAGTCCGAGTATGAAAAAGTTATGAATGCCTACAACAAGAAGCAGGTGAATGAATTGAATCAATTTCTATTTATAATTGAGATTATCAGAATCGTCGAAGAACTTTTTTTTTATATAGCTCGTCCATTCTCTTATCTTTCTCTGTTTTCCTAACAGGAAAGCATGGCTGATGATGCCGATGAGGAATCTGACAGGTCGAAATCTGAAATTAATGATGAAGATGATGAAAGTGTGCAGGTAGTTTTCCCTTCTATCATCTTTTGCCTTATTGGTTTGTGCTACTATAAGCATGCTTTATTGCATCACATATAATTCTTGAGACATAATCATAGCTGTGAGCCTGTGACTTAGTTATTGTTACATGTTTTCTGGACTTGTTGAGCAGGTTTTTTTCTGTGGGGCTTTATTGTGTTATAGTTATTCCGTTATTCGACTCACAAAGATTCTAAGGAACTTAGGATATGATATTGAGAAATCTGAAAAGTCTATACAATTGGAAAACGTTACCCGTGATTGAATGGTGCTATCTAAATTGCTAGATACCTTGGAGGAGACGAAACATCGAAGCCTCCATTCTTGAAAAGTTTGAGGGCCTTTTTCATGAGAATACATTATGTATCTCCGGGTGTTCTGGGTGATAACACTTGGTGAACAAACTGGAGGTGTTTCCCATTAACTTTGGAAATGTCTTTACTCTTCTTCTCTGTCTGTCTCTCTCTTTTGTGTTTGTGTGAAAAGAGGGAGGACTCTTAACAGTAATGATACATCAAGCTTTGCAGTCACAACAGTTAAGGTCGAGTTATAGCATTTTGCTTTGTTAAAAAAAAAAAAAAAAATCCGCTTCATATGACATATTGGAACTCTGTTTTTCCCAGACAACTAATTTCACCACTCTCTTTTTCTTATGATAACTTTATTAATTCAATCATTGTTCTTGTAATGGAAAAATTAATTTAAGTGTCTTGTCTATTTGCAGGATGAAGAGGAAGATGAAGAGGATGAAGATGATGATTGAAAATGGCTGCTTTCTGACTTGGGCAATTTGGCTGATCCAGGGCAAATGTTATGGATAATGTATGTTCGTACTCTTAGGTTGCATGTTGTACCTTCTTAAACGGGTGACGGTGAAGATGTGCCTTGAGCCATTGCTGTATAACCTCTTAGATTACTTGCATGTTAAGCATAAGCCTGTTTCCATAATTAAATATTGTATTCAAGTTCTCATAGTCCACACCTTATCGTTGGGATGATATTTCTATGAATCATCACTCTGACGTCATTTTCTCTATCTTCCGCTTATTTTTAAGATATAATTTATGATTACTTTTACATTTTTAAGAAATTAGCAAGTTCTACTTGCTTCCGCATTTAAGTTGGTGATAGAAATATGCTCGTAAAGGTGAAAGTTGGCAGCTGATGGAACCCCTCCAGCGAAAATCTCTCCCCTACATTTGAGGTTTCGTATATTTGTACATGTAATATAAGATAAGAAGGTGTTCTGTTTCCAGATGTGCCCCCTTTGCTTTATGTGATTGCTTAAATATACTTTCCTGTTTAAAAGAAGTTGGAAACATATGTGAATATGGAATGAGAATGAGATTTTTTCTTGTCATGTTTCTATGTTATTAAAATTTAGCAGCTTCTTGTTGAACATCTTGATCGTTTTAATGAAATGCCTTCGATTTTGAAACGGTTTATGGGCTTAGACACAGTTTGTTAGCCTAGCTGAAAAGTTGTTGCTAGTTGAAGATGAATGGCCTGCTAGGCCTATGTAGCGTGTGCTATTATTGTTGTTTTGGCTGTGACATGATGTATTTATGAATTGCCAAACTTAGAAACGATTTTTATGTAGATTGGAATGAAACTATTTGTCGTAGATGCTATATTTGATTGATTTTCCTGTTGAAAAGCTTTAATTTTTCGAATGATATACGGGATTAAACGCAATTTTACTAGTACAGTTGAAAAGTTGTTAGCAGCTCAAGTTGTTTGTGCTGTTATGGAGTTGTTGGCTGTTTGGTATATAAAATGGTTGACACTATTTTTATTGTCTTGGCTACATCATATGGTGTAATTATTGATGTCGAACTTTGTAAATTATATAGAGTTAATTATGTAGTCGAAAAACCTAAACGAATTTCTACATAGCTTGGATTATTGGAGATCTACTTCTTCTGTATCAAATAATTTTGGTTAATCAAGGACTAGAGAGTGTGGCAAAATGATATATATGTACTAAGAATCTGTAGTAAAGATTACTAGGACTTCATTTTAGGAGAGATGTTGTTTCAGGAACCTCGTGACTAAACTAAATAAAAACATGGAAATGTGTTTTGGTCATCATTATTAGTTGGTGAATGAGATTTTAATAAGATAGGAAAATGGCATGTGAAGCAAAAAGCTTTTAGTGATGTGAAGTTCTATCAGTACATGGGAATATCTATTATACAGCTATCTTTATTGCCCTACTTAGAAAATATAATATTTTGCTTGTCAAGGGTTAAATTGGAAGGTTGTATATTGCCTGGAATTAATTGGGTGACTAGGGTTTTCTGATGCTGATTACAGTGGTTTGGAACAGATATTATGTCCATGTTGGTTGTATAAATTGAAATTTGAAAGTTGAAATTCTTTGCTGATGAGACTAATTTGAGAATGAACTCCGAAATTGACGTACTCAAATGGGTTTGAGATTGATTCTTTGGAATGGAATGTCTTCATGTCCGGTGCAGGGAAAAAGAATTAAAAGGTATGGTTGTGATTTATATTGTATTATGCGACGCCAATCCTGAATAATACACTCAGATAATTCTGTAATTCATCAGCTGAGACGATTATATGTAAGGTTATTTGTACAGTGAAGCACGGCATATTCACCATACAATCGTTTTAAGCACCTAGTTGATTGAAGTGCTGATTAGACATCGCCACCAAAGAGTGGTTTTGGCGCAAAACTGAATTATAACAACAAAAGGTAAAATTCACCGGAGGCCTGTATTATTGGAATAGTGAGGGATAGATTACTTTAAAATTGGGAGACTGTTCTGGATTTAGAGAGAGAGAGATTTCAATCTCACATTAAACAGATCCAATCATTCAAATGGAATGAAAAAGACATCTTATATTCTCTCACATCAGGAGCTGTTGCACACTGAATGCATGATCTAACAATATTATGCATACTGATGATACCCACACTCATTTCTAATGTTTAAACAGTTAGGATCTTAAAGGAATAGGTGTTCCACACCACTTGCTAAGTCACTCGTTTAACAAACCAAAGCAGATACTGCCAAAATTAGTAACACATTTTAAAAACAGTAATAACAATAATAATCCCCTGCTCATAGAATTAGAAAAATAGAACCCAACTCCAACTGCAGCTTTATTTGATTGACAGAGTTAAAACCTAACTCTAACTTTAAACTCAACATCACTCTTGCGATAGAAATGATAACCACCCCAGGCCATATACTTTTAAAGAATGGAGCACCATTCACAAGTCCTATAACGTACCCTAATGAGCCAACAAGGAATAAACATGTCCTTATTTGATTGAAAGAGTTAAAACCTAACTCGAACTTTAAACTCAACATCACTCTTGCCATAGAAATGATAACCACCCCAGGCCATATACTTTTAAAGAATGGAGCACCATTCACAAGTCCTATAACGTACCCTAATGAGCCAACAAGGAATGAACATGTCCCGATTTGAAATCAATCTTAAACTGTTAGTAGATAGTTGTAACTTGTTTACGATCATATGTAACGAGCTTTAAATGAGTGCAATTATCTATGAATAGTTGATAGTAGGTCTAAATGCTGTATAAAAAGTTCACTCTATAACATTGCAAATTATAATGCCTGGTGTAGGGGTACAATAGAAACCAACATAAGAAACAAGAGATGGAAAGAGTGAATTGTATTCTATCATTGAGAAATATGATAGCAATCCAGATACCATTTTAGTTTTGGACTAGGCATCCTGTCAATATAATTTGAAGCCTGCTGACAATATCTTATACATTCATCCAACAAAAAAGGGAAAAAATAAAAAATAAAAAATAAAACAGAAATTGATGTACAATCAATCACGCTTTATATACAAACTACTTTTATCCCCTGACAAAGAATTTACCTTAACGAAAACTAGGGTCATAAGTAATTAGCCTTGGATCCGGGACACTACGAGGCAACTTCTCAATGTATGTGAATAGCCTCTTCAGATTTTCCCTTGTCATTGAAAGTGAGTCCACGATCTCACAGCTGCTCGTGTAGATCCAGAGGTCACCTGAGTTCACTCTTTTAAGACAATCTCGACAGAAAGGGCATGACTGAGACCGAGTACGCCTAAAGAGACAAAAAATGTCACACTGTTACATTAGCCTATGGAGAATTCAAGAAGGTAAATCCCATTTGCAAGATTGAAAAAGAACACTAGTGCAATCCATCAATCAATTTGAAAATGTCCAGCAATTATTAGTTACGATGTTCATACATATAAATTGAACTATCAATGATAATTGTAGATCTCAAGAGGAAGTGATCCAACTGGGTGATCCTGTACTCATATGAAATGAGGGGCTCTACTAATCATCACTAGAGTTGCAAATTTAAAAATATTTGCTACAGAAGGATTCTTTCTGATTTAGTTAGGTTGGAGGGAAAAAAAAGTCACAAATTTCTACTTTTTAATTTGCATCACTTGACAATTCAAATGTCTGTTTTAAATTTATAATTACTTGAATATGGAATTTTGCACTGTTTTTGAACAAGAAACTGATGGCCATATCCAGAATTCAGAAAGTAATAAAGAAAGATATGGTTTGACAAAAATTAACAATGGACTGAAAATAGTAACCAAAAACAACAGTAATTAGCTTACCAATTTCTATAGCACTTCATACACAAAGAATGATTGCAGTTGGGCAAGACAACCTTGCTGTTCATCTCCATGCAAATACCACATTCTTCCTCTCTTTCCATATCAATTTCAGATAACTTACCTTTTTCCGTCTTGTCTTTTCTTGTGTATTTTGCAGCACAAATCTCTCTCTGCTTCCTCTCTTCAACATCATTTAGTCCTCCTTGAAGTTGCAATAAAGATGGAAATATCACGCCTGTCCATCATGAACAATGCAAGCACCAAGCACTTAGATAGTCAGATCCACAACAAATGATCAGAAGTATCACAGAAACAATTCATTAGAGACAACTGTGTTGGCATTTGGAAGCACCGAATCGGTGCTTTAGATTTAGGATTGGAGAAAATTTACTGCAAACTTTGAACGAAATTTCCTCCAATACCAAATCCAATACGCCGATTCGGCGCTCCCAAATATAGCATTATTGAATTTCTCAAAGTCTACTAACCATAGAACTCCTTTATGCTTGCCTTCCGTTCATGAATAGAAATGGTGGTTTTCCCATCATCATAAGCCTGCAACCACCCATCATATCATCACCTTCCATGTAGAAAATCGGGTGAAATTTGAGTATAATTAAAGGGACCATTCACAACATAATCACAAGGTACATAATAAGTGTAATGACCTTACAACCACCACAGCCTTGGGTTGAGTGGTACGTCTCCACCCCCGAATAGGGAGGTTGAGGGTTAAAATTCCAGTGGGGGGCTTGTGCGTGTGTAGGTAATCAACATTATCGAAACAGGGAAAAACAAAAGTATTTACCTTATAAACAAGGATTCTAAGCAACCCAAGTGCACCAGCAAGGTGACAATCAGTCCATTGAACAAGAAAGAGAAAAATATGGGCACAAGAACTGTAGGATAGTCTCATCTGGAGGCAGCCACCACCATATTCCCTTGGATAATCCGAAGCCCTGTATCTCGTGAAAAATAGTAAAAGTTAAAACATAATATATGCCAAACTTCCATTAAGCTCTTAGGATAAATTCCCATAAGAAGCAAAGGCCTATGGAGAACAACAGCCAAGACAAAAGAATAAAACTAACAAATAAATGGAATAAAAGAATGAGTACATAATCATTTAATTGACAGAACCAACATAAATTTGTAATAAATTGAGAATGACCAATCTGATCCCGCTGCAAATCAAATATGATTTTCAAAAAATTAAAAATCTTCCAAATACATCCTCGCAAATTTGCAATTCAGGGTAAGGCTGCCTATGTTTGAATAGATTTTCTTCCAATTAAATCAACAAATGTAAAACCTCATGAAATCTCTACCTTTATGTTCTGGCAATCACACACACATCAATAGTGTCCACCCACACATCAATTTTTTGCATTGCTGGTAATTCAAATTTAATGGCTTCAAATGTGAAAACAGAGAGCTACATATTCCATCGGAAAGAATATTCACAGATCATCCCCAAAATTAAAATGATGAATTTTATTCAGAAACAGAACAGATACAATATATAAACTTTTATTTATCCTTAAAAATATAAAAAAAAATTCGTTCAAGCAAATAGAATTGAATACCATTTCTTCATCTGAAATTAAATACCATTTCTTCATCTGAAATTGAATACCGATTGGTGCAAACTTAATATATATAGATAGATAGATAGAGTGAGTGAGAGAGAGAGAGTAATTACAGGGTATTGGCATGCTGAATATCAGCTTCAAGCGCTTTAAGGGAATCCTTAAATGATTTCCTCATTGCCTTCCCTACCTCTGTAACCAATTCCCATCCAAATTCAACAACTACAACACTCTCAAACCCTAGCTCTCTCACTCTCTAGATATATATCTATATATTCTCTCTCTTACCCATACACACAGAGACACCGACGCACACAACTCAATTGCTACAAATCTTTAAACGGCGATAACAACAAAAGCCCTAGAGAAAGCTTCGAAAAATCCAGCGCAATTTCCAAATAGAACACCACCAACAAACATGATGAGTGCGACACACAAGTGACTCTGTGTCTGTGTGTCTCTCTCTCTAGAAGAAGCTCTGCGAAACCTGATTAATTTGTTTCTCTCTCTATAAGTATCTGTTTCTCTCTCTAGATGACTCCTCTAGGGATGCGCCTATGGTTGCGTTTGAGTGAGAAATTCTCTAACTGTGGTTCACTCTTTGCCTTTCGCTTGGGCCACACGCTTTGGTAGCACCACTTATAGCAGAAAATTGGGATTAACTTGAGAAAAAAATAAAAAAACTTGCGAAAAAAGAAAATTTTGAGATTACGGGTTTACTAAAATGGCCTTATCACCCAAACTTCACAGGAGAGCATCTTTTGTTGAACAAAATACGATGAAAATTAATCTCAGGACAATATGTGAGTAGGTCATACTTGTGAGTGCGAATTTTGGTTAATTTGGTTCAATCACCGATGCATACTTGGTAATTATAAAATTAAAAAGTGATCAATAGAGGAATAAGTATTTTTGAAATAAATTTAATCCTCCTCTTTGATTTTCTTATTTTTTTTATTTTGTAATTATTAATTATGTGTATTTGTGATTGAATCACATTACCAATCGGAAGAGAAAATGTTATACTTTATCAATTTTAATTTGTAATTTTATCTTGAATTAAGTGACGGCTTATTTTATCACTTATTTGGTTGTTTTGTGTGTTTTAAAAGTAATTTTTTAATATAAGAAAGATCTTAATATAGGAAGGAGAGAAAAAATAGTAGAACTTATAATTATTGAATCCAAACACTAACTTAATAACTTGAATTCAATTATATATCCTCGTTTGAACGACTCTTTCTATTAAATCTTTAAATAATTAGAATTAAAAGTTAAAAAATTTTATTCTAAATTTTAATTTGAGATGTGTAGCACTGCTCGATGCTTGATGGAAGGGATAGCCTGCTCATGAGTCAGGTAGGTAAAGTATTGTCCTTAATCCATGAGTGAGGGAGCCAACCATTTTAGAAAGAAAGAAAAATTACTTGGATGTTTCTACTACTGAAAATAATTGTTATTTATTTAAATTTCATTCTTAAGGTTGATACAACTCAAATTAATTTAGGAAACAACATATGCATAAAATAGTGAGATGGATTTGTAATAAGGCTAGAAGTGATAAAATTAGAAAAGATTGCATTTGGAGATGGGTAAAGGAGGAGATAAAATGAAAGAAAATTCTTTAAGATAGTTCCGACATGGGTAGAGAAGTCTTTTAAGTTTGCCGAAAAAGTTAAGTAGTCCACATTGAAGTCATACTAAGAAAAGATGAAGACCAAAATTAACCGCAAGTAGAACTAGTAAAAAATGATATGATAGTACGTGGATTGATTGAGATTATAATCTTAAATAGAGCTGATAGTACATCCATGCCTGTTATCGTGTGTAGGGATACCAACGGAGCAGGTTCGGAATCGAGCATGTTTAGGACGCCCCAATATACATATTTTGTCAAAAAAAGCAATTCAAACTTGAATATATCTAAGATAAATTTTGTAATTTTTTTTGGTAGTATAGTCAAATATTCAATAATTAAAATAACAAAAATGTTGTTAACATTTAAAATTAAAAAAATAAGTAAAGAAAAAAATTATAGCTAATAAAAAGATATTTATTTATATGAATTAATTATTAATTTGGCGGATTCAGAGTTTTGTGGGTCTTTAACTCTTATTTTAAATTTGTCCCTAACTCGATTATAATGATTTCACATCCATCTAACTCATTTATGGAATGTATGTGATGGATTGGTGAAATTAACATCCCTTTTTATTTTTACTCTTTTTATTTTCTTTATATTACCATTCAATTTAATTGTAATAGTGGCTTAAAATTTTAGAGGATGGAACGTACTTAATGGATGGGTGAAATTAACATCCCTAACGGTGAGCTTTTTATATTTTTTTGTATTACCAATCAATTTAATTGTAATAGTGGCTTACAATTTTAGAGGATATGTGAGTGAATGAATTCCAAAACCATTCATTAGGTTATAAAGTCCCTTAAGTGAGAAGCAGACAAAGTCAAAGCAGAGGACAAGCCAACAAAAAAACAATGACGTGGCTTGATCAATTGATGCGTGGCAGTCATGCAGTGTATTTTCTTTCTTTAATTCAACCGTTAGCAGCCGGTCCCACTTTGGTAGTTGCCGCCAGTACGACATGCTTTTCGGTAATGCAAATCTACAAAATGAGCAATGTGGACAAAGGTTGAGAAAAGGAGACAAAAAAAAAAAAAGGAAAAAGAAAAAAGAAAAAAGACAAAGGTTGAGAAATGAAAATAAATTTTGATAAATAGCTCCATTATATAAGTTCAAATAAGTCCGAATATGATTATTAAACCAGTTGAAGTTTTCAAAATAATGTTCAAACTCAGTCTTTTAAACTCATTACAATTTCAAATTCTTCTCAAATACGAGTCTGAGTTAAGTTTACAAATATATTGAGTCAAAATTTCAAAATTTTAAATAACAAATGTAATACGTTAAAAAGGACTAAATTGGAAAGACAGGTAGAAAATAGCATAATATTCTAGGAGAAAAAAGTATGATAAAGAATGGGATTCTCTGTTAGTTTTGCGCCTAATAGCAACTTTATCAACACAATGAAAAATATATTTTAATTTGTTGCTGGTAGAAAAGACTAGATCTATTGAGAGCTGATAATTTTTATTTTTTCTTTAATTCAAAATTGTCTTCATATTGTTAAATAAATAATTTTACAAAAATCATTAAATTTATATTAGTTTGGCAGTAAAGTCAAACTTGCTCATGAATTCAATTCGAAAAAAATTCAATAGCATATGCCCAAGTTGGGTAACCCTACAAAGGTTTAAATAATCCAGGAATAATTCTACTATTTTATTTATTTATTTATTTATTTCAACATTCATTGCGTCATTTCAGGATTAACCCGGTTTTGTCAATTAGCCTTAACCTTTAGTTAGGTTATAATGATGACTATGACAATGACAATTATGTTTACATAAATAAGCTCAGCTCACTTCAATAATTACAAATCTTATCCAATGTACTTTGTAGACTCTGGTCCATTGAGGAACAAATTGACCTTTGCAGATAATTTGGAAATTTTTGCTCCAAGACACCATGGTCCACCAGCTACATATATATTTTTGTGTATATATATTTATGTATGGCAAAAAAGCATAAAACTCCCATCAAGTATTATAAATTAGCATTTTACCCATTTGAACTATAAAATCGAGCAAGTTTGTCCCTCAACTATCAGAAATGATCAGTTTCACCCCCTGACTGTCCTTTCCGGCTCATTTCCGGTACCGGCATTGTACATTTACAAAAATGCCCATTATAATTAACATTTAAAAAAAAACAAATAAAATAAAATTTGTGAAATACCATTAATACCCTCACAGTCATATACGGCTTATATTGGTAAAATTCCTAAGTGTAAAGTGAAGATAGTGACTGAGTGGTTTTGAGTTCTTAGAGAAAAGATGAGGAAAGGTCGCGATGCTAGGGTTTGTGAGTGTAACTGCGATTTAGGGGATCTGAAGTACGATTTCTAGGGTTTTGTTGGGTGAATTATTGGATAGTGTTGAGGAAGAAGAAATTGTGTATGTGATAATCGATCGTGGAAAAAGGATATTGTTAGTATACCCTGAACTACAGAATCGTAAGTGTTCTTACTATACCAAAATGTTGATTTTTCTTTAAAAATCGTTACTTTATTTATTATTTTGATGTTATCTTGATTATTTTTGTTTGGTACGGTTATTGAATAGAATGTTCCAATAAATTTTTAGGGTTTTTGACTTTTGTGAATAAATAGTTTATACTATGTGACCATTGAGATTTTGGAATGAAAGTGCATTTTTTGTCTTTTGATTGTTGGTAGGGTTTTTGAATCATTTCAAGCTTTTGTGAGTGATTTGTTTTTTACTTTTTAAAACTCTGCGAGCACAATATTTGAGATACTGGCATGCATGTGTAATTTTTTTTTTTTTTTTGTATTTAAACAGTACCCTTAGACCCATTAAACTATGTTAGACTCCACTATCTGTTGTGTTGTGCTTTTGGGGTTTGTTTCTTACTTTTGGTCAATGTATTTGAGTTATTGTCATTGTCCTGTGAATAGATATAAAGACATCCTTTACTACTATTAGGTCATTGTCTTGTGCTTTTTGTTGTCCCCACTATGTTCCCTTTCAATTATTAGTTGCCTTGTATTTTGTCAATTTTTATTTTTATTTTTATTTTTTACGGATAATGCGCAGGTTTGTTACTCTAGAAGTTTATCCTGGAGGATTTTTTCAGTGCACACCCCTTAAGAGTTATACAGGAGGCACTGTGACTTTGATTTATAATGTAGACCTTGATTTCTTTAGTTTATTTGATCTCAATGAGGTGGTAAAGGATCTTGGGTATGATGAAAGGAGTCAATTATATTATAGGAATCCAATGGTGGCCAGTGATGAAGGGATTAAACAAATACTAAAAGATGAAGAGATATTGGGCTGCATTAATTATCATCAGAGATTTAGTTTGATTAAAATATTTATTATTTCTCCTAGTACTTCAATGGTTGAAGATGTGGAGGAGGAAGCAATCAATGAAGAGTGGGAAGATGAAATCCTAGAATGGGTTACTGAGGCAGCAAATGGTAATGTTGACCTACCGGTGAACAATGGTGATGTGGAACAATTAGCTGCTGAGGGATTACATGGTGTGACAGACGTGGAAAATGAAATGGGACATCAATCTATTGACATGGAAGATGACATGGACCATAGGTATGTGGCTGAGATGGAAGATGACATAGGACTTGAACATGTTGACATGGAGCATGATAATGCTACTGACATGGAAGATGACACAGAATATCAATCTGCTGAGGTGGAGCCTAATTTTACTGACAGTGAACATGCTAATCCTGAAGTGGACCTTGATCTATATGACAGGAAATTCAATTTTTTTGACATTAAGTCAACATATGCTCCAAGTGATGAGTTTCAAAGCTTAAAGGGTTCATCTGAAGATGATGATGAAAATGATGTTGGTAACCTACAGAATCCAAAAAGGGTTAATGCTTTTGAAGTGGGAAAGAAATATGAATCTGCAGCAAAGTTTAGAATGGACTTGAGAGCTTATGCTATTAGTGAGAAGTATGACATCAGATTTATCAAGAAATAGTTACTGC